GCCATTATTTTATTTAGATCTAAAAATAATTTACTTCTGAATAATAGCATATTATATACATTTATTTCTTCTATATATAAAATAATAAATCTATTATCTATAAAATAATAAATAAAGTAATAAATTAAATTGATTGACTAACCATAATCTAAACTCAAATTACATTCGCCATCAATTTGTTTGTACGAACATACTCTGGCTTTAACATAAATCTCTTTCATCTCTGCTATCAAACGATGTATCTGTAAATTGGATACAATTGTACATAAATGAAAACAATGATAGATAGAATCACAGATCATTTAATAGCATTTATTTTTTGATATTTAATAATAGTAATTGATCAAACAATTGCAATTACATGATGAATAAAGAATTAAAAATTAATGATATTTTCACTGAGATTATTTATCTACCTCGTTAAATTTATCATCAGTCAGGGAACTTCGACCTTTCGTAGCGATCATTTTAAGTTCCCTTCTTGCCAAAGGATCTGGTATTCGACTCCAAGCAAAAGTAACTGCTTTCCGCCAAGAAGCTCTTTCAAATTTTAATTTTAATGTTTGTTCGTCCACCTAATGAGATATTAGATAAGATTAAATGTTATATATAAAAGATTCATAGAGCAAATCATTTTTATATCGTTTGTATTAATTAAAAAAGTTTTTATACCATTTTCTGATGGTTTGCGTCAGTAACGTTTGTCGCAAAGTTCCATTGGGCTATCATCACTCTCGTACACATTAACGAAGCTGCACTATCATATTCTCTAAGGAATACAAAAGCATCTCCTAAATTCACGTTGAGACCCTTTAAATGACAAAAAAGAAAGAATATTTAGAAGAATATTTCAATACTAGTTTTGTTATAATTATTATTAGTAGCATCAAATAATCGAACAAAGTTGTATTTTATTTGAAAAAGAAATTAAGACAATTAAATAAATAAAGCTAAAAAATCTATTATATTAAACATATAGTACAATGATAATAATTTCGAATATACATATAAATTAACTGGCTTCGGAAAATAAAAGCAATAATTTTCGAAGTATGAATAACCGAAAATTTAACTTTGATAATTAAAATAATGATATTGATTCACAGTCTTACCTCCAAATATTTTCCATACGTCTCTCCAGATAACACAATAACAAAAAAAGCAATAACATTTCGAATTCCTATTGTCATTATTCTCTGTAGTAAATTTATCGTTGCATCAGTAATTGACATGACAAACCTCTTTGTATATATTTTAAGATATTTTTCATTCTCAACAAAAATCTTATACAATTTATAGGTTTATACAGTATAGTTATAGTTTATTACAGTATAAATATACAATATAAATAAGCACAATAATGACTTAAAGAAGTATGCATGAACAATTATACATTATATTATTTATATTTAGAATTTTTTATTGCGCCAATCTTCTGATATCAATTGTTTCACATTTAAATTACATAATAGAAAAATAATATTTCTCGTTAATGTATAAGTTGCATAATATAAAAATTTACGCCGTTTCCAATACAAACTAAACCATAATTTAAATCAAACTCAGATAACGTCATGTATCAAAAAGTTAAAGAAAATTGAATTATTATAAGTGACATCCTACTGTATAAACACAATGTTCCTTAAATTTATAGACTTTAGCACAACAATCAGTCAGTCGTTCGACAACTGAATTAAAGAGCCAAGGCTCGATGCTGTCGTCGCGGTAAAACTGAATCGTGGCAGAAAGAGAGATGGGCTTTTCCGGGACGGATACTCCATAGGCAAAAAGAGGAAGGGACAGGCACTATCGGTGCGTGAAGCGTAACTGCCTAACGCATCGTAGCACACGCCAAAATCTTTCTACATCGCTTTAACTTGATAATTACGTCATTATATATGTGTCACAATAACTAATAATAAAAAGTCTTCGTTTGACGTTAACTTCAACCCTGTGTCTTTACAGAAAATTTATTAAAATGACATATTCATTAAAACAAAAAGTACAATATAATAAAGTTAATTAATAAAAATGATTTCTTATATACATATACGTATATAAATAAACATGTATGTATTAAAATTAGATAAATTATTCTCAATAAAATGTATTGGAAATAATTGAATATGTATAGATTCTATGCTTGTACCATATTGTTGAATAAAAACCGAAATATATACATTTCTTTAATTTTATTTAAAACTTAAATATATAAATTCGGATAGCTAAATATAACTTCAATTATTAAATATATTTACAATACACTTTTAAATCGATTAAATAATATTAAAAGATATATTGCGATTTCTTAAATGTAAGTTTGTAACAAGACTTTAACTTACTGCTACACTACTATATTGCTCTCAACTCTTCAGAGTATTTTCTACAACGGTATACTTAAAATACTTAAATCTATTTTTTACGGTACAAAAGTAAAGAGAGACACATTATATCTTCTTGATTTCATGTAATTATGTTTACTATTTTATGCGATTTAGATTGTCAATACAGTCTAGCGGATAAATATTTTGACTCTTTCCTAAAAACAAAAAACTCTGAGAACAAAGATTAGCAATACTCTTTGTTATAATTTGTTAAATAACATAAAATATTATTTAAATTTATTAAATATTTCCTTAACGGTTACGAAAATCTATTACTATGCATATTAAAATTTTGCATTTTTCCGAGTAATTTTTTTCGACTTGAGTGTTATTCGATGAATTTCTCGACGTCTGCTTAGTCGCTTATGGATTTCTTGTAAATTATCTAGCTTCATACGCAATTTAATAGAATCTATAACACTTGGAATCTGCATATGCAATATTTTTTATAATTAATAAGATAATAAATAATTACAAATATTCTTTTATTTTTTGAAGTCTTATAATCTTTTGTATAAAAAATTAAATATTGTTCTAAAAGAAATCTTTATAAAAATATATATATATTAAAATTTAATATATCAAGTTACAGACAATAAATGTTACCTCAAAGTTATTTATTAATTCCATTATTGATTTAAGTTGTTTTTCCTCTTTATCTATTTCAATTTTTGCAGCAATTTGTTTTGATTGCAATTTTACAATCTCCTGTTTCTTAGAAACAATTTTGTTTCTCACTTGATTCATAATTAACATCAGACCATCCACTTTTTTCTTATGTTTGCCGAATGTAATGTTATAACAGCCTATAATAAATTCAACTTTGCTGATATAATTTATTTACTGCAAAAAAATCTAGTATCTGTCTCTTACCCGCCATTCTCTTCATTTCGAGCAAATACTGATTTTTCTCGTCGACTTTTTGTACGCAAATTCGATTTTTTATCTTCAATTGTTCGAAGTCTATGACGCGTAAAGTCTCGCCCAGTTCTTTTCTATGCTTTAACTGCAACTTGATTTTTATTATCTGACACTTTATAGTAGCCATCTTCAATCTGATTTTTTCTGTTATTATGTCGACTACTTTCAAGGAATCTTCTATAAATCTGCATAATAAATTTAGGTCTTGTATGTCTTTACATAATCTATCTATAATTATCAAGGAGTTAACATATAACTGTGGATTGTTTATCATAACACCTGATAAATTTTTCAGCCGGTATTTTTCCCGTAATGCTATCTATGCCTTTCTGTACAACATTTTCTTCAAATTCTTCCCTATTCTTAAAAATTTCACAAGTGCTGATCTGATTTTCTTCCATTCGTGCTCGCAGATATATCTTTTTCTTTGTAGACATTTGTTCGATTTTTTCTAGTTTTTTCTGTAATTCCCGGATTTCGGTGTTTACCATTTCGATACGATGCATATATGTAATTCTACAAGAAATGTAAGTTCAGCAAGAAATGTAATTGTAATTGTAATTGATGAAACTGTAGTAGAAGTTATAATGTCTAGTGGACGAACTTTGTTCTTCCATTTGGTGCTCTGGCTGATAAAAGAGACGTGACGTGTCGACTTGGCGTGACGCTGGAAACGCTCGGTGAATCTTTGTCGTGGACATTCACAAGACTTCCGCTTGCGCTCATAACGGATGGTGTGAGATTGTGTTGAGGTGCGATTTTTTGTATGCGTTTAGCTTTTTCTAAAATTTGCGCTATTGCTAGACAAGAAGATATATTAAAAGGTAAAGTTAATATCAATATATCTGCGAAAAGTTTAATCTAAAATAAGAATATCGGAATTTTAGAAAAACTTGAAATATATATGAATTAAATAAAAAAATTACTTTGAAGACTTTCAGGATGTCGACGCGCAAGGTACCGTTCAAAAATGTCATTTTCTAACCTCAAGAACAGATTCAGATGAATAACATTTTCAAGTACTTGTTGTAATTCCGTTTCTGTCATATCTAGATCAATGAAATTTTTCGTGATTTTTAAAATATAATTAAATTATTATAGATTTCTTTATACCTTCATAATAACAGAATTCATCTTGTTTAGGAGTTAAAACTCCTAAAGATCCGGAACTAAAGGCACTATCTTGTTGTCGTGACATGTTTAGCCTTTCACGTTTAATATTTAGATAACATAATCTTTTTAGATCATTTAAAATTTGACATTTTATGTCAAATATCTAAAGATATGTAAATATCTAAAATTACATAATACACATATATATTTAAACAATTCTGCTTATATCACAGTTTTTATGTCACGCAAACAAAAATATAAATTCCAGCTATCTTCAAGTATTACTTTTTAATAATAAAATATATTTTTGGGTAAATTAAAATAAGTACATTTATAATATGTATTGCATTTACGTGCAAATTTATTTTATAATTTAAAAAACATAGTTAAATTATATGGCACACATTTTTGATAGTGCTAATAATTAAATTTAAATATTACAAGAACATTTTTTTAATACTGTGTTTCACATTTATATAGTTATTTAATGATGCACATAAATTATAATTATCGATGATGTGCATCTAATTATCGATTAATATCAAACACGAAAAATTTAATTAGAAGAGTTAAGACGCATATCTAAGACTCTTCTACTAAAGCTTCTTGTTGTATCTCAACGTCATTGATGTATAAAACGTACACTATACCGATTTCTTTTTGTTCCGAACTGTAAGATCTAATAGTGGCCGGTAAATCACCAATGGAGAAAAGAATTTCTGCGCCGCCGTCCATAAATTCATTCTATGTACAAATCGTTATTTAATTTATATATTTCATATTAAACAACATTTGCTAAATATTGAATATACATAAAAGCATAATGATAGATATTTCTATTTTTACTATTACCTCAACTTCCACTTCTTGTCCATTCACCCAAACGCTGTGAGCGTGTTTATCTGCAATTGTTATAAAATAGGAATATTTCTATATACAATACATTAACTACTTTGATGAATTACCTAATACAACTCTGTATTCTTCGTTCCCAACTTTGGCCAACCAAGTTTCTAGTATTTTTGATTGCGACTGAATAAATTGCTTATAGTTCTTTCCGTTCACCCACAACGAATAAGAATACTTCAGACCTATATAATCGGTGTAACGATATAATTCATTTATCATCGCAAGGATAAAATAATAATAAGGCTTTACCTGGCATTGGATCGACTTTGATTATAAATTTGATATTATTAAACATAAAGACTTCATCACCGACTAGACGAAACATCCAATCTCTATGAACTATATTATTGCCATCGATTTTTACTATACGTCGGCCTGTTGCTGTTCCATGTTCAAATTCTACCACATGATTCCCGTCACTCAAAGGAACAGTCCATTTAGCAGTAGGTTCGTTTGCTGAAGTTTCCAGATTATGAAGACTTCTAAAAATCAATAATAATAAAATACTCTATAATGCAATATAAATATAAAAAAATTATATGTAGATGCTGATATTATAAATTAATGCCAAATGTAAAGTATTATTACAAACAGCATTTGTATGTAGCAATCAATATATTACTTTCAACAATAATTACAGGAAACAGCATTAGAGACTGTGTAATAAAGTTAGGATAATGATTAGAATATGCAGAATTAGGAAAGTTACTTTATAAAAGTAACTTATTGCCGTTATTCGTTGCTAATTAAAAAAATAATTTATGTTACTTTTATCGTTATTTGACGAAACTTTATATAATACTTTCATTATTTTTTTATCAAATTTTGATAACATTTTTTTAGTGTAACAATCACTTATCTATATCAATAATTGAATTGAACTTAAGATCTATAGTGCTTATGGTTTAATGACATGTTGTGATATCATTAGCCATAATGCCATTAATATATTATTTCCCAACTCTAAAACAATATGTATATGTATGTATATATATTTTATTTCTATAAATAATAGAAAATTTGCATATACCTGCTTGCGTGTGTTTAAACGAATGAAATATACATTTACTAAGATAATTACATATTTTTGCTACAGTACAATTACAAATACAAATGCATTAACTTTTTAATATTGCGTAACTTACATTTATGAAAATAAAGATATTGGTAACATAGCGAGATTGATTAAAATAATATATATTAAATAATCTTTTAAGAATAAGAACACTGTTATAACTCAAATTTGTGTATTTTACTTACCGAAGTAGAACGCCTGCCATGTTTCTTCTATACCTGCACCTGTACTGGCCTCCTTATTGATCGACTTTACTATGACTATCCTCGCAATCAATAATCAAGTTATCTTATACGTAATATCACACATATTATTTCTTTAAGCACATTGTAGTAACCGTTTAGTTTTTACATATTTCGGCTATATAAATTGTATTTATTAACAAATGCAAAATATTATATATATAAATAACTAATCATTTTATAATTAATGAAGCAAAAAATATAATTGGTAAACATCTTTATGTATGTAGGGTTTCTTGATAGAAAATCCGCGGCTTAGTTAATATGTGTATAATTAAATTTGATTTAATTTTAACTTAAAATTAAATGTTTTTTTTATCTCGTTATTAATGAATTGGAAAAATAAATTAGATAGGAAGTAAGTATATAATAAGTAATTTATTTTAAAGTATTACAAATTTAATATAAAATATATATAAAAGACAGTAACATAAAGAATATAATTTTGCCTTGTGCACCAATTTCATTTGTTATTAGCAGGTAACAATTTTCCCGTACATGTTCCGAAACCGACTTTATAACCATCGCCATCACAATAACCTAGAAAATAATGAAATAAATAATTATATAATTTTATATCTACATATATTATAATAAATTTATTTAATTACCACGAATGATTATTTCATCACCATCTTGAAGGAATTTTCTTGTTGTACCATCTTTTAGCGCAATGGTATGTGTGCCTTTCCAACATAATTCCAGCATAGAACCATAAGAATCCGATGTCTAAATAAATATTTTATATACAAAATGTAAAATAAAATTCATAATTTCCGTAATTTAAAAAAAATAGAAATTACGAAAAAGTCAACAGATACATATATGACAAAAGCTAATTTAATATATTAATTATAAAATAAATGTATTAATAATACAATAGAATAATACAATAATAATATTAATTGTATTAATGTCGATTATAGCAATTCTAAATTTTAAACGCACGTTTCCACTGATAGTGCCGGATCCCATTAAATCTCCAGGATTGATGTTGCATCCTGTAATAGTATGATGCGCCAGTTGTTGTTGCGGAGTCCAGTACATGTGTTTGAAGTTGCTCCGGCATATGGTCGTGACTACATCACTTTTTGATGCTGCAAAAAAATTAAAATTATTTTTTATACAATAAAATAAAATGTTTAAACAATACATACGGGAATGTAAATAACTACAAGAAAAGTAATAAAAAAGTGACAGCTTACATTTAAGGTCAACTTCCAATTTAATATCGAAGTTACAAGACTCGTTATGTTGCAAATACGGAAACGGTTCTGGATCTTGGATCATATTTGGTACTTTGAAAGCGTTTAGAGCTTCCATCGTAACGATCCATGGCGAAATTGTCGTGCCTAAATTTTTTGAACCGAAGGGGCCTAATGGCACGTACTCCCATTTCTGAATATCCCTTGCTATGCAAAACAGAAAAAAATAAATAAAAAATCAGAATAAAAATTTTAATTAATTAAAGAGTTCTCTCAATTATATTTCGTACCACTCCAATCATTCATCAAGACCATCCCGAAGATGTGATCATACGCTCTAGAAGCTGGAACAGTATCACCTAAGTTTGTAGGTGGACCACCGACAAAGAAAGCAACTTCGAGCTCGAAATCCATTAATCTGCAAGGCCCAAAAACAGGTGCTGCACCTTCAACCGGAAGTGTTTGACCATACGGTCGTCTTATGGGTGTGCCTGACACAACAATGGAACTTGCTCTTCCGTGATAGCCAACTGGCAAATATTTCCTGTTTACATAAATGTTTTATTCTGCAAGTAATTTTTAAAGTACAAGCATAAAATAATATTAATAAAAAAATTACCAATTTGGCATCAACGGATTTTCTTTCCCACGGAACATGATACCAACATTTGTTGCGTGATTAAGAGAGGAATAAAAATCTGTATAATCTCCGATTTTGGCCGGTAAATGCATTATAGCATCTTTCTGGGCGACAAAAATTCTAAAAAAGATGTTACGCAGAGATTATAATATGATTTTTAAAGATCTAAATTTTTTATATTAATTTTCGTTTGTTGATTTCTCACTTAGAACGGATTTCAGGATCTTGCAAAGTATGATTACTGGCAGACAGCAGCTCTTGAAGTTTAGATCTTGCTTCTAGCCATGCTGGCCTTCCGAGAGACATAAAATCGTTTAGACAATCACGACGAAATACATCTTGCTTACTTTCCAACAATGGTCCATCAAAATAATTTGCGATAGCACTCAAATTCAAAATTTGATCACCAATTGCAATACCAATTTTTTTGTCTGGCTAAAATATTTTAAATAAATATTATTTACATTATCTATCTATCATAATATAATAGTATACAGCTATTATATATAATTAATAAAGTATTATTATAAATTTTGTATTTTTTAATATCATATCTAATAAATCTAACAATTTTTTCATAGTATAAAATAATATAATTTATTGGGGAATTTATGAAGATATTAGAATTATCGAACGACAGTAGTTATATACCAGCCGATGGTACCATAATATAAATTTCTAGTAGACGGCGTTGAATGCGAGCAAGAATGAAATGGAAACATTCCATTCTTTGCTGTTAGTTATCTCATGAAGAAATATACAACCTAATATTTTATTGTACAACTTCTCTAATAATTTTTCAAAAATATGACAAAAATCCATAAAAGATTACTATATTTCGTCACAATATAATTCATGACTTCTCTAACCATAATGAAATTGGAAATGCGTAGTTACATATTTATATTTAGAACTGTTTTGAAATCATATGACGTGGCATGATTTGTGCGCGATCTATTTAGTGCGATCTATTTGTGCGCGATGTAGTTTTGCTCACCTTATCTTTTGTTGAGAAGATTCCGTACGGTAAATTTTCAAGCGGAAAATCGCTAGATGCCGAGTAATCGATGAAAGATTTCATGGTTACAGCTACTACGAACGTTGTCTGTCGAGTCGGTTTCTGCCGCATATGCCACTAACGACGATCTGATAAGTAGCGTGAGATCCCACCAAACTAGATTGAGACGTAATTTATATACCTGTTTATGATGTTTGTTGTCGGCGAGCCTCTGGTTTAACTAGTTTCATTCATTAATGCAATGAAAATCATTTCAACACAATCGACTGTTTTAATTTTGCCTTGAATGTTGATTAGTTAAACTTGTTAAATATGATAAAAACACTATTGTTGTGTAACATATATAATACATGTTCCAGTTCACTTATTTTAAATTATATTTAATTAATAAATTCTTTGACATTAAATTGGTATAAATAAACTTCTTAAAATTTCTAAGTTTTTTTTCAATTATAGTGGGAATTTTGCAAAAATATAATATATAGTGTCGATATATTTTATTTAATATGTAAAGTCTTCACAAAAGTTAAAAAAAAAAAGAAAATAGAAACAAGAAATTTATACGAGTTACATATACTAATAATTTGGGATAACAGCAGTTTATTAGACATTGATATACAGTGGATAATAAGGGCAATTAGGTGTAGGTGGTATTCGAACAACATATTTATGTGCTAGCAAAGATCCTACATCGCTGCACATACTCTTGACTTTCGCTTCTCGTTCATATCAACGACATCTTACGCACACGCA